ATACAATATGCAACATATTATTTCAATATCTTATTCTTAAACATAACATATTTCAATGTCTTTAAAATGCCACTAAACATTCAGCAATTCCTTGAGTTATAGAAAAAAGAAATATCGTAAATTACAAAAAACCTTGTGAATGTGCATTAGAATTACTTTACAATCTACATTTTATTTTTCAAGCACTTTTTTTTTCTTCAAATTTTCTTGCCTAGAAGACTCGATTAACCCTTTCGCGCCAACTGTCACAAATACGTGACAGCATAAAACAGTATCAACCAGGGTAAAAAGATAAAACTGGTAATCAAAGTAATTCTTTAGCAGTTTATTTGTGGGCGGGGTTATAATTGTTTGATTTATTTTATTCATCATTACTTAGTTCGAAATAAAATTATTTAGTTATACTGTATACTTTGAACTAACATTGATTATATATATGATTAAACAAACAATAATTAAATTCAAGGCAAAGTAAGTCTGTGAAATTAGCAACGCCTGCATTTAAGCTAGCTTAAATGATAGCTACCGTTTTTTATTTATTTACATCCTGATTTTGTACGAATGCTTTAATGAATCACCCGTCCCCAAGGGGTTAAAGCTGTAAAAATGATCATCCCTAAAATTTTGTATATAGCTGTAATAAGTTATGTTAATTTGATTTTAGTATGAAATCCTCGAATAAATTTAGCAAAAACAGCATAATCTAAACAATATCAGATAAAAAGTTCATGCATTTAAATTCTAAAAACTTAGAAAATTATAAATAATTTGTAAATCAATTCAAATTTTCTTTTCAAAGGACATTAAAATAATTTTTTTTTTTTTTGCTTTTTAGACAGAAATCAGCTTAAAAATTGTCTATTGCCTAGAAACTTCTAGATATTTTCTATTAACAATGAATTAAACCTTTCTGATCAATCACAAAACATTAAAAAATTTTTTACAGTCATAGCATGCTTGCCTAGCAACCTAGTAAAATTAAGCATTCCTCTTTTGAATTAGTCAATGGGTTATCTTAAAATATTCATTTGCGCAGGTGACTTTTTTTTGGCGGTTTTCTGGACTATCGCCAAATATATAAACCTTTTATTGCGACCCAATTTATGATCGAATTTTTTAAAACTTTTGGCTCCCCCCCCCCCTAATTCAAGTCTCTAGATTCCAAATATGTAAAAAAAATTATATGTTTATTCAGAGAAAGTACGTTTTTGTGTCTGATTTCGTATATTAATTAATAGTTAGCACTAATTAATTAACATATTTGAGGTCACCCCCAGGAACCATTAAGATTGACACTTAGTTCGTTCAAATCCGATCATTAGAACGAAAGTTATTCAGGTTATTCGTTATTTATTCGAAAGTTATTCGTTTTTTTTTTTTTTTTTTTTTTTTTTTTTTTTTTTTTTNTTTTTTTTTTTTTTTTTTTTTTTGCAGGCTGTACCTATTTTATGATCATATAAATAATTTAATACCAGATTTCATGTCCTTCAAGTGTTAACATTTAACAATAAAAATTCCCGATAAAATTATTCGGATTGTTTTATTACAGTAGGACTCATATTTAAGGAGAAGATCTAAGAAGAGAGAAATACTTGATTCTGGCTTCTTAGGCTAAATTTGACCCATTCGTCTTTCGAATGTTAAATAGCATTTTGTAAATATATGGCAAGCTGATATGGTGAAACCTTTTAAAAAACCCTTGTTATTCAGGTTTTTTTTTTTTTGTGAACACAACTGTAAGATATTTTCATTAAAGTAACAAATATATAGCTGTAGTAGAAAAAAAATGTTGTTGCAGTAGTAGTACTTTATTTATAACGCATTAGAGCTACACAGCTTTTGCTAAGGTCTGCTGAGAAGCAGATTATGGTTTGAAAACCATCGCAATTCCCATCTTCTCCAGAGGGGATGGCTTCCCCACTTTGGTAGCCTTATGACCTGCACGTAAAGTCATAAATGTTGTTGATGGTTTAACTGTATACCTACGATGACATTATTTTACGGTTTGAGCAATGATTTTTTAGATTTTTTTCCTTTTTATTAATTACATTAGAATATTTTAATTTCTCTTTTTATTGAAGGGATTTTCTCCACACATTTCACCTTTTGCTAGAGTGAGAGACATTGGAGATTTGCTAAATAGAGCTGGTTATACTATGCTTACAATAGTAGGTAGCTCTTTCAATGTCATTATTAACTTCGTTTATTGCATTCAAATTTGGTTATTAACTATTACATTTTTTTTTCTTTTTTAACGGATACTGATGAAATAGTTGTGAATTATCCTAGTATGTTTGAATTGCTGGATGATTTAAGAGGTATGCATAATAATAAATTATATAACATTTGATTTTTGCTGTGCTAATTACTATGTGTCAAATGTATTGATTAATACTTCTAAAAGTTTTTAAGAACAGTACACAGATTTTGATTTCTTGTCCTAATCGGTTTGTAATTTGTATGAAAAATAGTGTGATATTTTTATGGCTATTTCTGCTTATTCCCTCCCTTTAACTTACAAAAAAAAAACATTTAGCCAAAAGCTTGCAGTTGTGTTATAATGTAATATTGTCCTATTTAGCTGATGATGATGCCCAATTAATATTATATAAACAATAGTTTTAAGGCATAATGATTTTCATATTGTCAAATATAAATTGGTTGGAAACCATCTTTTCTTTTTTATGTTTTGAAATGTCACATGTTCATATTTTGAAATGATTGTTTTTAAAAATGATTTTCATATTGTAATTCGTGTTATAATTTCTCACAATTTTTCATTTCTAGCAAATTTTTTGTAAAGCTTTCTATTGTTCATCAGTTGCTTTGCAACTTATAATTACTATTAATATTTCTATTATTTTCATTCTTTATTAATTGTATGTTTTGGAATGGTTGATTTTATTCTATTAGTAATTGATATAAATATATATTACATAATTTAAGCAAAATACTCTATTTGTGTAGTTAATTTAAAATAAAATTTAATTTAAAAGAATTCATATTAGGAATGGGTGAAACAAATGCTGCATGGAATCGAAAGGTAGGCATTAACCGTGACTCTTTATTGGCTGCAGGAGCAATTTATGCAGGTAAATCTTTATTTTAATTTAATTACTATTTCATTACAAATTTTGTAACTTGACATAAGTTCCAAATAGAAATTCTGTAAATTTATAACGCTAATAATAATGAAAGTTAGTATTGAAATGAAGAGACAAGTGCTGAAATATTGAAATACCTCCTATTACTATTAAAAATTGATTCAATTGAAGTAGTTTAAAAGATATTAATTAACTTTCATTCCTGTCATAATGACAGGGTGAAATTTCACACTTTATTTCTCGTGTGGGCGATATTTCCAGACTGGAGTATTCAAAAGTAATGTGCCAAAAAAAGATTAAAATAAGCAATTTTTTTTGCCCAGAATCATTTTTATTTTTCAATCTATACACCAGATGGCAGTGACAGAATATTTGTGATGTGTTTAGAAGTAATTTATTTCAGACTATACTAAATTATTTTTTATTTCAAGCTAAAAATTTACCCAAAAATTAAAAATGAATACATGCATTGTATATACACTTAGCTTCTTATTATTTTCTTTAATAAAAATATAGGCTCTATTATGACCCGTTTCCTCAAAATTAGGAGACCATTAAGGGGTTAACTCAGCAAAGATAAAAAGATTTGTAAAAGAATAGTAAGTTTTACTGTGTATGTCACATATTAAGAAGTTATAATAGAAAACAATATTTCTTGGTAAAATGTGTATTTTATAAATTTTTATGCAAAATGAGTTTAAAAAACATATATTTAAAAAGAATATTGGTATCGTAGGAATGTATGGTAATGCTGACCACACTGTCCCAGCAACCTTTCAAGTTATCTACCTCATTGGGTGGAAGCCACATGAATCACAAGTAAGTGTTTTTAGTACTAATTTTTTGCTAACTTTTATACTGTCAACTTTTATATATTAAAAAAAATGCATTCAACATGCTGATTACAAGGATGAGATTTTTCCGCTTTTGTCTCTCAAATTTCAGCCTTTTAATCAAAACCATTGATTTTCGTATTTACCTGATTTAAAAGTTGAACGTTGCGATTCTTATGCAGGCTAATTAAATATCGAACATTGTGAACCTTATTTACGAGATTTAAAAATCCAATATCGCAATTCGCATTTACGCGCTTTTAAAACCCTATGTAGGGATTCGTATTAACGCGATATATATATTCATTTTTGGATTTCCACTTTTTTACTTTCTGACTACTCTCAGCCCTGTGATTAAAAATACACCCATTCTCAAGAAATCATATTATCTAATTTATTTGTTGATGCGTTTACATGTGTATTAAAAGTACAATACAAAAATACTCAAAGTCAAGTTTTTTTTTGTTTTGTAGTATTCATAACATAGTGATATTTTTTTTTTTTTTTGAAGAATTTGCAATAGTTAAAGTTTAAAATAGAATATAAAATATACAAAGTATAAAGTATGCAAAATATTTTACAGTTATGAATATTCATTTTAATGCCATGAGTCAGAATAAGATAAATAAAATATGAATTATACTGCCAGGGAGATAATAATTTTAGGATAATGCAATATTGCATTCAAATGCAGTATCAAAACTTTTTTAACTAAGTAAACTGCACAAAATACACACAGCTTGTTTTTGAATATATTATTTTTATATATTGAGTAAATATAAATTTAAAAGCTTCATACAGGTCACAGAACTACTAAGTAAAAAAAAATTTAAAAAAAATTTCAGAATAACTAAATTACATAATATTTAAAATTATTTAGGTTTTTAAACACGTGGCTTTGATGATATTTGTCAAAAACTACTTCTGTTTATCTGGTATTCTACCCAAATAACTTACCTGTTCTGCATCGATTAGAATTCCCAGAAGGTTTAGATGTCCATGAATGTTTTAGTGAAGGAAGAATTATAAATTTCCTTCTAGCATGTTTTTAGAAGCTTAGGTTCATATATGTGAACCGAGAAAATGAAGAAGTTAACTTAACAATATATTTCTTTAAGATATTTTATGTAGGGCTTTATGGTGTAATCCTTTCAAAATTAAAATAGTAAATTAGCATAAATTGTGAATATTTCTGATATTAATACTTTAAAATTTTTTAACAATTGGTATGTTGTTAATCAGTTTTACCATACACTGCTTAACAGTATACAAGTTATTAAAATTTTTTAAAAAATATGAATGGTTACCAAACATACAGGTTGTTCCAAAATTCAACTGACAAATATATAGAGGTGATAAAAGGCATTAAATGGATAAAAACTTATATCTAGAACATGCTGGATTTACAAGCCATGTTGTGAAAGTGAAAATTTTAAAAAAAAACGCGTAGGCCCTAAATCTAGAGGAACACGAAAGGTTAGTTGTCACACTTAAATGAACTACTTTAATGTTTTCCCCTTTTTTGGTTACACACAGGATGATTTCATTGGGTAGATTGTGAGAAAACATCAAAAGCACACTTGGCACCTTATAGTGAGTTAGTTAAAATATGCATGAATACCATAGAAGATGACGTCAATGGGTGCTACTTCTAAGAACTATTATAATACTTAGTCAAATAAATCTTTTTGTAGTTGGAAAATTAATAGTATCTTTTGTAATTATTTTCCAGCATGATGTCAATATCGCCATAGTTTTTCCACCCTCTCAATGTGGTTTGCAACGCCATGTTCTATGGTATCTTTTCATCCTCTTAATGATGCCTTTAACACACCTCTTAGTTTGTTTAATTGTGGAACACCTTCTTTAGGTATACATAGAACCTGTCTAATAAAGCTGCTAATAATAATTTATTTCTTATACATAGGCTAAACCAGCTAAAAGAGGGTCTGGTCAGATTTCAATGAAGACTATTTCTAATCTGAACAAAGATGATAGATAAAAATTTGTTATTTTTATAGACATTAAATTGTATTTAATTGCATTTTTTTTTATAAAAAATAGCCATGTTCTGTTTTAATTTAATTATAATTCAGAAAAAACTAATCACTCAAATAACAAACAAAGGTAATTGAACAAGTTTTATTTAAAATCTACAAGCAGTAACATTTTCAATTTTTATTCTAAAGCACCACATTGTTTCAAAATTTCTTCTTTTTCTTTGAAATAGTTTCTAAACCAGTCGATATTTTCAATCTTTCTTTCAACTGATATATAAGGATTTGTAGATAATCCTACAGCAACAAGTTCTATGAAGTGACGTATGGGGCCTCTGGTGGGAAAGCCATGNCAAAATTAATAAATGTTAAAAAGATTCTAACATTAACTGTAAAAATATTCCATTCATGGGGTGAAAAGTTTAAAAATGGGGAAAAAAGCCCAAAAAGTTAATATATGTATCTTTGTATAAAACAATTCATTAAAATACGCATAGAAATATTGCTAGATAGATATAAAATTGAATACTCATAATACTATGAGATTTCACTTGCCTACTAAGCTGTCATAAATTTTGAAATACGTACCAAGGTACACATACGTGGACCTGTTCTTGACTGTATTACTTTTAAATATCAACTAAATATAAATTTAAAAGCTTCATACAAGTCACAGAACTACTAAGTCAAAAAAAAAATTTCCCCTGCAGAATAACTAAATTATATAATATTTAAAATTATTTATGTTTTTAAACTAGTGGATTTGACGAAATTTGTCAAAAACTACTTCTGTTTATGTGGAATTCTACACAAATAACTTACCTGTTCTGCATCGATTAGAATTCCCAGAAGGTTTTGATGTCCTTGAATGCTTTAGTGAAGGAAGAATTATAAATTTCCTTCTAGCGTGTTTTTAGAAGCCGAGGTTCATATATGTGTACTGAGAAAATGAAGAGGTTAACTTAACAATATATTTCTTTAAAATATTTTAGGTAAGGCTTTATGGTGTAATCCTTTCAAAATTAAAATAGTAAAATAGCATAAATTGTGCATATTTCTGATATTAATACTTTAAAATTTTTTAACAACTGGTATGTTGTCAATCAGTTTTACCATACACTTAACGGTATACAGGTTATTAAAAATATAAATGGTTACCAAGCATACAGGTTGTTCCAAAATTAAACTGAAAAATATGATGAGGTGATAAAAGGCATTAAATGGATAAAAACTTATATCTAGAACATGGGGTCACAAGCCATGTTGAGAAAGTGAAATTTGTAAAAAAAAAAAAAAAAAAAAAAAATTAAAAAAAAAACATGTACGCTCTAAAGCTTAAATTAAATACTTTTATGTTTTCCCTTTTTTTTTGTTGCATGGCAGCACCCTAACTCACTACTTTATGCAATGTATGTGGTCACACAGGAAGATTTCATTGGGTGGATTGTCAGAAAACATCAAAAGCACACTTAGCACCTTATAGTGAGACCAAGAATAATTTTACCTCATTTTAAAATATGCATGAATACCATAGAACATGACGTCAATGGGTACTACTTCTAAGAAGTCAAATAAATCTTTTTGTAGTTGGCAAATTAATGACCTCTTTTGTAGTTATTTTCTAGCATGGTGTCAAAATCTCCATAGTTTTTTAACCCCCTCAACCTGATTTGCAACGCCATGTTCTATGGTATCATTTCATCCTCTTAATGATGCCTTTAACACACCTTTGAGTTCGTTTAATTGTGGAACATCTTCTTTAGGTATACATAGAACCTGTCTAATTAAGCTGTTAATAATAATTTATTTCTTATACATAGGCTAAACCAGCTAAAAGAGGATCTGGTCAGATTTCAATGAAGACTATTTCTAATCTGAATAAAGATGATAGATAAATGCTTATGTTATTTTTAGAGACATTGAATTGTATTTAATTGCATTTTTTTTATATAAAAAAAAAAATAAAAAGTTTTGTTTAGATTATAATTCAGAAAAAACTAATCACTCAAATAACAAACAAAGGTAATAGAACAAGTTTTATATTTAAAATCTACAAGCAGTAACATTTTTAATTTTTATTCTAAAGCACCACATTGTTTCAAAATTTCTTCTTTTTCTTTGAAATAGTTTCTAAACCAGTCGATATTTTCAATCTTTCTTTCAACTGATATATAAGGATTTGTAGATAATCCTACAGCAACAAGTTCTATGAAGTGACGTATGGGGCCTCTGGTGGGAAAGCCATGAAGATGTTGGTCTAAAAATACATGTTCATGGAAACCAACATTTTCTTCTTCACCCATTTCTGAAAAATAATAAGATTAGGTTATAATTTGACAATTTATTAACAATTGTCGTTTAATCCAAAAAGTAATACTCTATAAAATGAGCAAATTTTTTAAAAAATCTATTTGTTATAGTCCCAGGGGTGCTAGCTATTACGATTTTATAATCAAGATTACAGTCCTATGTTTAAGCAATAAAAATTGTGTTTTTTTGAAACTTTCTGTAATAATAAAAAGAACTTTTTTCTCCTTAACTACAAATAGAGTGTTTGCAAACTAATTTGTGATAATTTTTACTTCTTAAACAATTCTGAAATTAAAAGAATCTCATCATTCCCCTTTCACAAGCTATTCGGAAACCTAATCTCTCCTAGTAGAAGAGCAAAAGAACATTAAATCAAATATTTTAAGTGGTTCCAATGCAGAATGATAGAAAAGCAATAAGAGACAGTTCTAATTTAAAGAATAAAATTTCAACGTTTTATAATTTTATCAATGCCATAAACCTATACAGAACTAAGCAAATACACCTTAAAATTCCACTAATTTGAATTTTGTAAATGCTGACTGAATATATATTCTACGTTATTGTACTTCTGATTACTGATAGTTTAGAAAGTTGGCCTCTCTGTAGTCCCAAAAAGCACTTGTAACTTTTCCAATGGCTCCATAGAAAGAATTATTATGGAGAAATCACAAGAAAATACACTTTGTTACAGTCAATAAATGCCTTAGTTATTCTTTAATGTAATAAAAACATTATTAATTTGTATTAATTCAAAGTACAGTAGCTTTGTCCAGTATTCAAAAAAAAGCCTAGACATTTCAAAGTTTTAATCTGTAGTAAACTGTTAAATATCCTCCTTATAGTGAGTGATAAAAAGTTGCACTGATTTTTTAGATGTAAAGAGAAATTTAAAAACAATATTTAGCATTATACAAGAATGAATATAAGTAACCCATGATTATCTCTGGAAAATATTTTTCTGCGACAAAAAATATTCTGAAACTATTTATAAATTTTTTTTTTTGATTTCTACCATTTTTTCTCAAATTTGAATGCTTGATTAAAATTTCTCCAACAGTAGTAACAATAAGTACACAGCAGGAAAATTCTCATAAGTTATGTAGGTCATGAAGAAATAAAGCTTAGCACAGATCTTCACTTACCAGTTTCATTGTCAATAGGAAATTTCCAATGTTTCCCCTGTTCTGTCCACATGATCATTTCTTCAAAAGCATTTGCTGGGGCATATTCAGTCAAAAGTTTCAACTTTTTTCTCTCCAATCTTTCCCACACTGTTTCTGGAAGTTCTAAATGCAAACAAAAGTTCAAAAATACTTTACAAAGAAAAAAAAACTGAGCAGATAGATATATAGCATTTAATTGGACTTTGATACATTAACATGCAATAAATGATTCTATATACAGAGATCTCCCTAAAAATAAAAAAGGCACTCCCCCCCCCAAAAAAAATGAGGGCATTTTCAGTTTTGAATGGCACCAATCTTGCTTTAGTGTATCAGTTATATCTAGCTAGGGTAGTGCCCTATAAAACAGAATTAAAAATACTCAAATAAATGTAAGAAATAATATTTATATTAACTTAGCCTAAAATAATTTGCTGTAATTATGATAATCTGGAGTTCCTGCTTTTTGCTACTTCAATCTCTTTTCTTAAAATAGAAAAAGAGCATTTTTTCTGAATAAACAGGGGAAAATATTTTAACAAAAAGGGCAAGGAAGGGGTTTTTATCTTTGTGAAAGGGCAGACAGGGTGGGTCACTCTATTAAAAACATTAAGTGAGAACACTGCTATTTGTATATATAAAATCTCAGACACTCCTACAAAATGTACGCCTCTCATTACGCATATTTTTTTAATTTCCTATGATACAACTATGAATAAACCATTGTAATCCCTCTCCTCAAAGCAAACACTCCTGTAATCAGACACAGACAGTTATTTATGCCCCTAAATGTTGTTTTCAATCTCGTCAACCAATAACCCATTTTTCTAAATTTGAAAAAAAAAATTCATATTTGCATGCTAATTGTTTATTAACCTTTTCCGGGGGGCTGTGACAGCAGTTGTCACATCTGATCTTGGGGTCCTGTGGTGGGCATGTGACACTTTCAGCGTAAGAATAGGGGAAAAAATCTCCTCCTCAGTTAAGAGACAGGATCAAGTTACAGTGGGATTTGTTTTATTGTTTTAGTATCTACGAGAGGTCTCACCTTTTTAAGATAAGGGGAGAAAGGTTTCTTTACATTTCCCACCTACCTTCAAACATCTGTTCCAAGTTCGGGAACTTTTTTGTTTGTCTGCCGTTTTCTTACGTCTTTTTTAGTCAGTTTCATTGTTGCTATTTTTTTTGTACAAATTTTTTCGTTCCAGTTGTGAGTTATATTATGAATAAGTTAATTTCTTTATTACAAATATAATTTAATGAATATTTTCAATTGTATATAAAAAATATGGAATAATCAGAATCGAAAAGCGCTCTTTTAAGTAAATTAAATCAAATTGAAATAAAATATCAAAGCAATATATTTTACCTAAACTTAAATAAATAGTTTTTTTTAGGTTATGTTTTAAATTAGGGTTATAAATATAGTTATTAGAATTTTAAAATTTTGATTATAATCCGAAATCCCTGCAGTTTAAAAAAATTTTTCTTACATGATTTTAAATAAATATCTGTATTTCCGAAGAAAAATATATATACTTAACACTACGTAAGAGTATTTATACTTTTGGATACATAAATATTTTTAATGTCACATTTATAAATATATAATTTATAATTACTAATGTATTTTCTATGTTTAAGAAATTGAAATCCTAAATGTTATTTTTAACTTTCTTAAAACCATTTTCCTTTTGTGGCGATTTTCAGGTTTCTTTCCCTCTTTCTACACACAGTTTAACTTTCAGTTATAGTTTCCAGAAATTATTTTAATATTTCAGTTTTGTATCTTTTTATAAGATTGAAGCTAAATTTTTGAATAATAAAATTCTACAAATCTATTACATGAGTAAGTTGAAGTCAATTGTGAATGACTATGTTTTATAAAAAAATTATATGCTACGCAGTTTCGATAAAGTGCTTACTTTTCATGAAATTTGCAGCAAAATAAAAGAAATGAGACCGATTGTTATATGTTAATCATTTGCAACTGAAGCACATTAACTGAAATATTTATGAGTTTTCGCGTTTTCGGAACTATTTTAAACAGGGTTCCCGCGGCCTTGAAAAAGCCTTGAAAAGTACTTGAATTTCATTTTGATTTTCAAGGGCCCCTTAGAAGTACTTGAAAATGATATTAAATCCTTGAAAATTTCGAAATGACCTTGAAAAGTATCGAAAACTCAGGAAAACAGCCCTATTTCCAGTATTTCTATGTTTAACTTTTTGACGCGCGTAAGTGTGAGAGAATGACTTCCCCGTCTTTCTGATGATGACACGTACTGTTTGATTTTAGGATTTTATGTATGTTTGGCTGATTTTAGGAATTTTAAATATTGGGAACTGTGCCANATTTTCACATGATCATTTCTTCAAAAGCATTTGCTGGGGCATATTCAGTCAAAAGTTTCAATTTTTTTCTCTCTAATCTTTCCCACACTGTTTCTGGAAGTTCTAAATGCAAACAAAAGTTCATAAATACTTTACAAAAAAAGAAAAAAAAACTGAACAGATATATAGCATTTAATTGGAATTTGATACATTAACATGCAATTAATGATTCTATATACAGAGATCTCCCTAAAAATAAAAAAGGCACTTCCCCCCCCCCCAAANCCCCAAATAAGGGTATTTTCAGTTTTAAAGGGCACCAATCTTGCTTTATTATGTGGCAAAACTACCACCATAAATATTAAATACCAATTCACTAGTATATAAGACATGTTAGCTTGATTCTTTAACGAGGTACCTTTTGATAGATGATGGTTGACATAGTCTAAAATTAAATTTCCCTCATTGGTGACCTGCAGACATGATATGAACTTGCCAACATTGATGGATAGTCCACATTAAACAGTTGATTTGCTTAAAAATATACAGCTCAAAGAAAAGAAAAAATAATCCGGTGAATAAATAAGGTTTTCCTGGTAATAAACAATATTGAAAAATAAATTGGCGAATAGCTTTAAAAAAAATGAAGGAAAAAAATATAATGAGCAAAATTGATATAAATAAATAAATAGCATGAATTAACTAGTGGTAATCGTTCATCGAATTCTGTCACAGAAAAAATTCTGGAAGGGGAGTAATGTGATGTAACTACCACTATAAATATTAAATACCAATTCACTAGTATATATTACGTTAACTCTATCTTGAGGTACCTTTTGATAAATGAAGGTTGAAATAGTCAATCCTTATCAAAATCCTTACAAGTATATCAGTTATATCTAGCTATGTTAGTGTCCTTCAAAACAGAATTAAAAATACTCAAATAAATGTACGAAATAATATTTTATATTATCTTAGCCTTAAATAATTTGCTGTAATTAGGATAATCTGGAATTCCTGGTTTTTGGTACTTCAATTTCTTTTATTAAAATAAAGAAAGAGCATTTTTTCGGAATAAACAGGAGATAATATTTTAACAAAAAGGGTAAGCAAGGGATTTTTATCTTTGTAAAAGGGCAGGCGGGGTGGGTCACTCTACTAAAAACGTTAAGAGAGAACGCTATTTGTATATATAAAATCTCAAGACACTCCTACAAAACGTACACCTCTCATTACACATATTTTTTAAATTTCCTATGATACAATTATGAATAAACCATTATATTCCCTCTCCTTAAAGCAAACACTCCTGTAGTCAGACACAGACAGTTATTTATGCCCCTAAATGTTGTTTTCAATCTCTTCAACCAATAACCACTTTTTCTAAATTTAAAAAAAAAAATAAAATAAAATAAATGAATAAAAATATTTCTACTTTAAATTTTTAAAAAAATGCATGTATGCATTCTAATTGTTTATTAACATAATATGTCTCACAGTTTTTAAATTGTAAAATAAAAACAATTTCAGTACCTTCTTTACTTTCACTTTCTGTAGAAAAAATATTCAGAGGAGGAGCTTGAAAAATATTTATTTCTGATTGGCTTCTAGACCTAAAATATAAGAAAAACGTACATTGGAATGAATAAAACCAAGTTTCAGCAAATTGTCTGAACTTAAGAGAGTGTCATAAATTTGGAGCAGTATTGTTTAATATTCTACAATTACACTTTTTAAGTCAGCTTTTTTTTTTATGGGACATATATTAGTTAAGTTTTAGATAAGATTCTATGCAATTGTACTTTTAAAAATAATGATGGTTGCTATATGAAACAAATATAAGAATCCAATGTAGAGCCAAATTGGTAAAAATCCAATTTACGTTGCATGAAATTAATTTTGTTTAAATTCTAATAAAAATTTATATATTTTATAAATAAATTTATTGACTGAATAACAAAATATGTAAAGTCCTCCTTCCAAAAAGAAAAAAAAAATAGCTATGGCTCTAGTGTTTGTTACACATAATGTTTTGTATTAATGTTTCTGACTTTTAGGGGGTTTTGTACATTAAGCTACCACTCTTTTTTTTTTTTTCTTTGGAAGAAAAAAAAATCCTAAGTATATCAGCCTTTTGTTGATAAGCATTTTGTTACACATAATTTACTTCATTAACTAATTATCATGCAATCCTAAAAATCACTAAGGAAAAGTGCTCTTTAGACACTATGTCACCTGTGCATAATTCTTTCAAAAATAAAAATGTTAAAACATTTTTGCCATTGCATTTTATCTTTTTTCCATAACACAATTGCTTCGATAGTTTTATTGCTGGGACAGAAGGCAAAATCAAATTGTTATGAATGTAAGTGATAGAATTTCATTTGAAGAATTTTATAATAAACAAAAGTAATGGATTGAGTAAAACATTCTTTCTTAAATGAAATTCACAACATCAACATGGTATTCAGAAAATGCATGCAAACTTCATGGTCTTTTTATGCAGTTTTCTATGTAATAGGATAAAAATACGTATTCATAGTGAATATACAACTCTAAGTGGTTTTAGTTATTGATTTTAATCACAATCAATCTTGCATCAATTAATAAATTGTGAATTTATATAATTACTTAATTTGTAGAAGTAATAATTGGAGTATTAAGCTTATTCTATAGCTGTGTAAAATCTCTGAATCTGCAATCTTTGCAGCATAAAAAATTCTAGATTTGTGAGGCACAAAACCCCATTTAAAGTCTTTAAAGGGGTTTAGCATTTTGATGAAATCTGAAGGGGATAAAAGAAATTTCGCCATAAAATTTTTAGAAACACATCCAGAGACTTTAATGACAGAGATTTAAAATAAAAAAATGTTTTTAAAATAATTTTTTTGTAAACATGATATATTATTTAAGTACAAGTGCATGTTAAAATTGCATAACACATGAATAAAAACCTATAACATATTTAAATCAAATAATTTTAGAAACATAATTACTTAGGTATCATTTTTCTTTCTCTTAATTTCACATCAGGAACTGATGATTTCTGAGTTTCCTTTTGGGGTTTTTCAATTTTCAAACCTTTCATCATGTTTCTGAAAATCAAATGATATATTGAAATTTTATTAGAAAAGTATTGAGTAAAACAATATTTTTAAAGTTTATTTAAGAAAAAATGTTATGGAAATATGATCAGTCTCAAAATTTTGCATATTTTTTTAACATATAAATGACTTTCCTTCGAAGATTATTCTTCAGGATGGTTTATAATACAGATCCATCAGCTGTATATATACATCAAAAATATACACCAGAAATGAATAAAAAAATTGAACATATACATGGTTAATTAAGTAAGAATTCAACGGTTTGAGCACCAAATCAGTTTTACCTGCATCAAAACATTTTTGTTTTTCTTTTCTGGCATTTATCTTTCACTTTATCAGGCATAAAATTTTAAAACTAAAAAATGGGGACACAAAATAAAGAATTATTTTTAAAAAAATGCACACACAAAACAAAAAAAAACTTTTTTATCTCAGGAAGATTTATCAACTAGTGGCAATTTTTGTTTGAATACTGCTTTATGGTAGAAGAAACATCAAATCGAAGTAATTTATGTAAATATAATATAGTGATAATAAAAAATTCTCTAATCCAGGGCATGAAATTTTAGTGCTAAAGAAACTAGCCAAACTAAAATTTCTGCCACTCACTATTTTATATTCGTGAAAAATATGAATCACTCCCATGCCACCGGTCCTGGGTTCAATCCTCGGGCAGGGCGAGGTTGACCCAGTCTTTCATCCCTTCAGTGGGTCGATAAATGAGTACCAAGCATGCTGGGGAACTAAACACTGGGGGTTCCGCGTTCGGCTGACCACCTGATGGGAACATCTGCTCCTGCACCCCAGAGCCCAAGGTCAAGAAAACTAAGATGGACACAGTAGGCCTTGGCCCTCTATGGGCTGCTGCGTCAATGAGTTTAGTTTAGAAAAATATGAATATTTACTGATAACAGAAGTAATACGGAAAAATTTTTAATGAAATTTTTAATAAAATCATAAAAGAATATAGAAACTTAATCAAAACATATTCATTGCATTAATTATAAGATCAAAATAACGTCTTAAGATTTAAGAGCTTCCAAAAGCAATGGTTTTGTTGGTGAAAAGTGGGTGGCTCAGCATTTTTTTATGCTAAATAGATAGAAATACCCGCTTTACTTCAAAATACTTACACATGCTCTTGTTAATAGAACTAATTGGCATTGTTTGATTTTGAAACACTTCATTTAAGCATGATAGTTGAAGGGCACATAGAATTTAAAATTCCACATTTTAAAACATGAAACTTACTAGCCATCTTTAAATAATTAATTGTCAGCGGTGAGCTGGCGAGTGGAAATTTCAAGCCCTGCTGCAATTTTAGTCTTCCTTCATTTTATATTTTCATATCCCTTATTTATCTATATTTACTCATGCATCTTACATTGTACACATGAATCGGAATATATATTTTGTAACACTAATGGGCTTCCTTATAAAGGCGTTTAGTGATTTTATCAGGTTATTCTAATTTCTTTGTTTTCCAAGAATCCAAACAGTTGCTTAAGAAAAGAAAAAAATGCAGGTAAGATCTATTATATTAGTTTGCTTAGTGAGACTATCTTTTGTTTAATGAGAAATTTTATAATGTTATCAGGTCTTTCTAGTAAGAAAAAAACAAAACACTTTGAAATAACTTAATTTACTAAATTTTATGGAGAAAAGAAAGAGATAGTAATTTTTCCATTTGAAGCAAATATCTTTATTGCTTAACTGATACTCATTGCAAAAGATAAATTAAAAAGAAATTACTTTATGTTTAAACTTAAAAGGAACATGAATTAATAGAATAATTCAACCTATAAACATTCAGAATACAAAATGGGTAAGTACTTCTACTCCTAATGCCAAAACACTAATCAGTATCGTACACATGAAATTGAAAATTTCCAATTATATTCTGTTGTTTAAGATACTGTGCCATAAAAAATGTAACACCTTGAATAACTTTTGATCTAATGATTGTATTTTCACTTACTTAGACTCAATCTTCAATATTTAATCTTAATAGTAAGTCAGCCTAACATTAAATATACTAATTAATTGGAGCAGACAATATTTTAAATTACAAAATCAGACAAAAGAATGTACTTTCTCAAAATTAACATACTTTTTCCGTGGGATAAATATGGAATATAGCCGCAATCTTGGAAATATGGGCAATAGGAAAGTGGTTAAAAGTTTGGACTTCTTAAGGTTAATTATACTTTTTGTGTAACTCGCCATATCTAGAAAACTTTTTAAGCGAAACAAAGATTTTTTGTACACAATTATAAAATACGTTTATTTAAAGATAATTAGATGTGAAACATAATTTTTAACAGTAATTAATTTTTATTTAATAATAGTTGAAAAAATTTTGAATTGCAAGGATTGCAAATGTTTATATAATTTTAAAGAATGTATTTTCAAATCCCAAAATACAAAATTTGAATGCAATCAGTCAAATTAATAAAAATATTATTATTAGGGATAAAACATCATTAATAAAATTCTTCTATTTGTTTGCTTGAAATTTAAAGTTTATGATTTTTTTAGATTAATTTTTATACTGTTGATTGTTTTTATTACACACATTTACTATCATTAATGTACAATTGTAATAATTAAATATTTATTTAATAAACTAGTTTCTATATTATGTATCAAAGTTAATAATGTGTAGCAAAAACATATAAAAACCATAAAATAAAAATCCAACATAAAATTTCTGACTATATATCCTCTTACTAAAATCATTTTAGCTACAGAAAGTAAGTTAAACGGTAAAATTACCGATCACAATAAGTGATAATATATGGTAATGGAATTGATTAGTAGCATACATCAGGAAATGAAACATATAAAAAAAAAGCATACAAAAGTGTTTGTTAGAAGTCCACCTATTTTGTAATACAATAACAAAGTTAATTTTTTATCAATTAAAAAAATGGGAAGAATAGGAGATATTGATAAAGATTAAACCACAAAGAATAAACTATTCAACATTTGAGCAAGCAAAATCTACAAATTAAATGGTGATGACATAACATATTTATATGTTTTTTATTACCAATCACTATTAATAAATAATAAAAATCACGATTTTGTTTAAACATACTTCAGAGAATGAATTTTATACTATATAACTAGAAACAAAAACTTAATTAATATTTTACTTTACTTTTTATACTAGCTTATTCAAGTTTAATTCAGAATTATAGAACACTTACTCCATTGATATTTTAGCTTGCTTGCTATCTTTCCTTTCAACCGAAAGCTTTAGAAGTCTATGAGTCAGTTTGGATTTTATTGGAGATGGAACTGTTGATGCAACATCTTCTACAGAGGACATAAGCTCCTCTTGAATTTTTTCACTGATTCTAATAAACAAATTACAAAACAAACATCTAAATTAAGTAAAAAAGGAAATACAGTCTTAGATTTAAACAAATGTCATAAAAAATTCAATCAAACTTAACAAGTGTCCTTAATTATCTTTTTTTTTTTTTACTTCAATCAAACTTAATGAATGTAATGTATTTATTTTTTTAAAATTATTATTTTTTTATTTGTAGAAGTAGCAGCATACATTTGCTTTTCAAGCATAATTTGTGGCAAAAAAAAAAGCGTTGTTTTCCCTGTAAGTTTAAGCTTTAAAGAAATAAATGAGACAATCAAAAAATGAAAAAAAATTGGATAAATATGACAACCAAAGTTGACGTCTTCAGGGGGGTACCAGCTCCGGAAGTCATAAAAGCAAAATCTTTTCTATTGAGAAAGCAAGACTCCAAAGAACTCTCTGTACCCCAAAGTTCGAGAAAAGAATAGAATACATAACATACAATATAAAATACAGAAGAATAAAAACAAGACAAATACGCAATAGAATGGTACGAACGAAAGCTTACTTGAAATAAAAATCCAATAACTAGATAACTGACTGCAAGACACAACTAAAATAAAATAAACATAAAAACAACACCCACTAACCTGCACAGTTTAAAGAAAAAAGGATTCAAGGATTTTAAATGCCATTTATTTAATATAGAAATTTTATATACCAATCAGTTTCCTTTTTTACTGATGTTTNTCTTGTTTACTTATCCGCTTTAATGGTTTTGATAGGACTAGATCTGGTTTGATCTTCGATTGATCTGGTGATACCTGTAAGAATATTTAATTTATAAAGAGTAAACCTTAACTAATTTTTTTTTATATAGAGACTGTCCTCAAACCCAACAATAAAACAGCATATAAACAACCAAACTTTGTAAACACAGAATTATAAAATTGTTAATAACTGAAGATATTCTATAGTGTAATTGAGATATTTTAAAAGAATTTACGGAAACAAATAGCATGGTCACAATCAGCCACAAACACATTATGATGCACATTAAGCAGCTAAGACAATGAGGTGCAGAATTAAAGTTATTACTTTTTAATGTTTTTAATCAATGTTCAATTAGTAGACAGGTTTAATTAGCATAATAAAATTTTACTTTTAAATTATAATTACCAGGTTTTGAGTTAAGAAAAAAACTATCCCCTTGCTAATTGAATTTAAGATTTAAAGAAATAGCTCTAATTTTTAAACTAGAACTTTGAATACCTTTTATAAATAAAATAAGCATTTTCAGAAGAATCAGATTAATTATGTACAATAAGCAAAAAAGAAAGAAAAAACACCCTTTATAAATTTTGATCTAATGATCAGATTTTCACATACTAAGATTCAAACTTAATGGTTCGAGGGGGTGACCTCAAATATGCCAATTAACTAGTGTAGATGATATTTAAAAAACGAAATCAGATATTAACTTTGATTTTTCTCAATAAACACTCATTTTTTTAAAAGCTTGGATTTCTGACCCACAAAATATAGAGAGTAGCCATAATCAATGTGGAAAATATGGTCAAGAGAGCGATTGAAAATTTGGACCCTTTAATGTTAATTTTACTTTTTGCATGCAATTATAAAATTTGTTTATATAAAGATAATTCCATGCAAAAAATAATTTTTAGTAATTATTCACTATTCTTCATTATTTCATTAAATAGTATTTGAAAAAAATGTTGAATGGTTAAAAAAAAATAAAGAATGTAATATTATATGATATGGCAAAATACAAAATTTGAATTAAATCAATAAAATAGTTCCAGAAAAATCAAATTTTAGAAATCAGATATTGAAAATTCCATCTCTCAGGAACTATTTGGCTGATTTGATTCAAATTTTGTATTTTGTCACATGAAATTACATTCTTTAGAATAATATCAAAATTTGTATACCTCACAAATTAAAATTTTTTACTACCTATAAATAAAATAATAAATAGTTATGAAAAACTTTTTTTTGCATGGAATTATCTTTAAATAAATTATTTTTATAGCTGAGTGCAAATTTTTTTTAATTCACTTAAAAAGTTCTCGAGATATGCCAAAATACACAAAGGACAAAATTAATATGAAGAGATCCAAACTTTCAACCATTTTCCTGACCAAACTGTCTGGACCATATTTTTCAGATTATGACTAACCCTTATATATTATATATCTGGAATCCAAATCCATTAAAAACAAGGAGTGTATATTCAAAGAAAATGCACTTTTTTTTTGTCTGATTTCTTAACTTAAAATATTGTCCTGGTTAAGTAATTAGCATACTTGAGGTCCCCTCCTTGAATTCTTTTTAGTTTGAGTCCTAGTACGTGAAAATCTGATCATTAAATCAAAAATTATTCAGAGTTTTTTCTTTTTTTGCACTATTCTATGAGAGAATTATAAAACTTTGTGGAATGGAATGAGAATTATAAACTCCATTTTAATTTTATCAGTTGTTAAGAAGAAAAAAATGTTTCTCTTTGTTTTCAGAACTTGAATTAAAGATTTAAGGAAACTACACAAATTTTGGAACAAGGAGTTTTTATACCATTTAAAAATAAAATATACATTTCAGTTAGTAGATCGGATAAACTATACATGCCCTCATGAAAATATGTTTGGATAAAAAATTTATTTATTTGTACCAGGCTATGACATAGGCTAATATGCTTGACTGACTCATAGATGCATAAAGAATGAAAATTTTGCTAGTTCAAAATTAAAAACAATTCAAGTTTCAGAAAACAATTTTAAATTTAACTTTATATTAAAAAAGAAAGAATAGAGTCTCAAGCATTATTTAAAACAAACTATTATTATAATTCATTTTTAACTATATTTAAAAATACAAACCTTTAATTCAGATAACAGGGAAAAGAGCTTTTTCTTTGCTGCTTCCTTTTTCTCATCTTCATTATTCTTTTCTTTACTGATGCATTTAAAAAAAAAAAGCAATGAAGAATTACATGGAAGCTTATTTATTAAGGTCCAAATTAACACTTTAGAATAAAAATTTAATTTTTTTTATACATTGAAATGCTTTTAATAGGACTTTGCAATCAAAGTTAAATTCTTCATGTTTTATGTATTTTTAAAACTTTTAACTCCAAGACATACATAATATAAACTATGTAATTCTTACTTTAAAAAAATAATAAAATGACAATCTTTTTAAGGGTTTTATTTAAACATTTCCAGCTATTAATTTGACAGTTTGATTAATTAAAAGATTTCGGAACAAGCCCTTTGTATTTACAAAAATTTTATAGCAGTTATAATAGGCGTTGAAATGGTTTTCCAAAAACAAAACCTTTTGGAATATTTACAAGATGTAAAGTATTTTATGTAAAATATTAAAGTGTAAAGTAAAGTTTAAAGCAAAGCAAAATGTAAAGTTATACAGTCAAACCCCGCTATAGTGAACCTTCAAGGGACCAAAATTTCGGTTTACTATAACCAGGTTCACTATATCCGTTACGCAGGCAATTTAACTAATGGTTCCCGAACTCCTCCCTTTCATAACACACTATATAAATAAATGACAGAAAAATATTATGTAGTAGCAAAAAAATTTACTATTTTTCATTACTCTTCGTCTTGCGTACAAATAAAAAATTAGTAATCTTTAACTAATGAGCAATTCTCAACATCAGATATGGAAACACTTCCCGACTCTCAGATAATTTTTCCCGAATTTCTGTTATTCAGGTTTTTAAACCTGTCTAACCTGCCATTCGAGCACATAAAAGTAGTCTCATAAAATCGTGTAGCAAATTCATCAACATTTGTCCAGATACTGGAAGATTGCGGCTTCTTCGATTGATGAACCACTTCAGTAATGCTTCTTCAACATCCTTGTGTTCTGCTTTTCTCAACTTTTTTCTGCCATCTAAATTTTTTTCATGAGCAGAAATTATTAATTGCCTATTCTTCCATATGTTGCAAACTGCAGATTTTCTGATTATGCCCATTTTATCATCAATAAGAGAACATTTTACATTTACTGCTCGCCATAGTTAAATTTGAGACACTTGTTTGCAGGATTTTTTTAACTGAACTGAGAGCAAAAAGGAGTTGAAATGAGGAACTTATCAACACATATTATTGTCTAACCCTTTGATCAATAATGAATAATTACTCATTCCCTCTGACGGAAAACACATATNATGAAAACCTAAATAAAAATGACAAATACAATCATCAGTATTATGTCGCGCTATTGATAATAGTGCTTAATTTGTAGTATCAAATAGCTCTCAAACTTATAGAATTATTTACTAAAAAGACACAACAAAATTTTTAAAATGACAAGTGAATAATAAGTGGTGCGCTTCATTTATAGTATCAAAATGTTATGTTTCTTTTAATTAATTTTTATTTGTGATTTAGGCATTTTTTACATCATTAAAATACTTAATTGTATATGAAAATACTAACACATTAAACTGAAAGTGAAGAATATTTAAATTATAATAATATTTATAATTTTGTAAAGAAATAATGCTAGAAAAGTTAATTTCACAATATAAGCTATGTAATTAAGTATGTGTATTTTGAGGTAAATACAACAGCTTCAATCAAATTTAAAAGAAATAAAATTGAGATATTTACCCCACATTATCAGAGACTTTTTTATCTGATTGAGAATCTTCTGAAATTAAATTAAGCGAACTTAGTTTCTGTTTCAGTTCATTCTGTGTTTCTAATGCATCTTCTCCAAACTTTTCAGCTACAGCCTTAACTGCCTGAATTATTTTTTCATCTGGTGACCTTAAAGGAAAAATAATTTTTTAAAAACCTATTCAGGATTAATAATTAAAATGAAAGATAAAAAAGTTTAATACTTTTTCTCTTTTAAGATTTCAGAAAAACGTTCTTGTTTACTTATCCGCTTTAATGGTTTTGATAGGACTAGATCTGGTTTGATCTTTGATTGATCTGGTGATACCTGTAAGAATATTTAATTTATAAAGAGTAAACCTTTAGTAATTTTTTTTAATAGAGACTGCCCTCAAACCCAGCAATAAAACAGCATATAAACAACCAAACTTTTAAAACACTAAATGATTATAAGATTGTCAATAACTAGAGATATTCTATTGTGTAATTGAGATAGTTTAAAAAAACTTAAGGAAGCAATAGCATGGTCACAATCAGCGACAAACACATTATGATGTATTTAGGCAGCTAAGACAATGAGGTGCAGAAATAAAGTTATTACTTTTAAACAAGGTTGGCAAGTTTCTGCCGAAGTGGTTAAAACCACTGGTAGAAACCGGTGAAAACCGGCATGGCAGAAACCCTTTTCTGCCACATTTGTGGCAGAAATTATAATTACTAGGTTTTGAGTTGTTCAGAAAAAAACTATCCCCTTGTTAATTGAATTTAAGATTTAAAGAAATAGCACTAGTTTTTAAACTAGAACTTTGAATACCTTTTAAAAATAAAATAAGCATTTTCAGAAGAATCAGATTAATTAGGAAAAGAATTCAAGTTTCAGAAAACAATTTTAAATTTAACTTTACATTGAAAAAGAAAAAAAAAATAGAGACTCAAGCATTATTTAAAACAAATTATTATAATTCATTTTTAACTATATTTGAAAATACAAACCTTTAATTCAGATAACAGGGAAAAGAGTTTTTTCTTTGCTGCTTCCTTTTTCTCATCTTCATTATTCTTTTCTTTACTGATGCATTTAAAAAAAAAAAAAAAAAAGATTACTATTTGCATTTTTTAGTGCTAATCTTAAGCATATTCTAGAGTCAGATTCTTAGTCAAACAATGAAGAATTAAATGAAAGCTTATATAATTAGGTGCTAATTAACACTGTGAAATAAAAATTTAATTTTTTTAATACATTGAAATGTATTTAATGGGACTTTGCAATCAAAGTTAAATTCCTCATGTTTTATGTATTTTTAAAACTTCTGACTCCAAGACATAAATATAAACTATATAATATCATTCTTACTTTAAAAAAATTAATAAAATCACAATCCTTTTATGGGTTTTATTTAAACATTTTCATCTATTAATTTGACAGCCACGTTGAATTTCCAAAAATTATTTTTGGAACAAGCCTCTTGTATTTTCAGAAATTTTATAGTAGTTAAAAAAGGTGTTAAAATGGTTTTCCAAAAACACAACTTTTGGAAGATCTACAAGGTGTAAAGTATTTCATGCAAAATATTAAAGTATAAAGTAAAGTTTAAAGCAAAGCAAAATGTAAAGTAATATAAATAAATATTTATTGAATACAAAGAAAGAGAAATATTTGTTCAATTCAAAGAAAGAACAGAAATTTATAGATAAGATAAAGAACAGAATCATTTAAACAGATAATTTAAAGCATAGAATTCAAAGAGAAAAAGAAATATTTATTTAATCCAAAGACTATAAGATATATATGTGCAATACAATTCAAGAACTTAGCTTTTTTCACCCCAATCTAAGTTAAATTCCTTATGTTAATACATTTAAAAATTTCTGATTCATACACATATTATAAACTATAAAATTATTTTGATGTAAAAAAAAAAGAGTGAATAAGTTGCATACAATCATTTTATAGAAACATAATTAGTAACTAATTTGGCAGACACCTAATCCACAAATTCTTTTTGGAATCAACCCTTCCTATTTTATGAAATCTTAAATTGTAAAATTAATTCCATTTTACACTTCAATTTTAATAATACAATGTCATAATATTTTGAAAGAATAAGACATTCGTAAATAAATTATGTTTACAAAAGTACTGTTGGAATGAATAATATAAAATGCTTCATAATTGAACAATTCTTTCAGTGAAATTCAATTTAGCAATTTAACATTTTGTCAACTTTAATTCTAAATTTAATATTTATTGACTTCATTTTCAAAAATAGTTCCTTATAAACTCGTTGAATGGCTATGGTTTTCAATGCCAACCACATATTTTGTGGTAATAATGTAAAAATTCATTTAAATAAATTGTTCTAGACTAGACATTGTTCTAATTAAACTACAGCCAAACTAAAATAATTTTAACAATTCTGATGTTTTATTTTTAAAAATATTTCCTGACCCTCAAAGAGTTAACATTATGAGATATTTAAAAAGCAAAAATGAATCAAAATAGTATTAAACAAGATTAATAACAAAACATAAAAAATATTAATAAAATAATTTCAATATAAAATGAAAGGCTTATAACCTGCTATATAATTTTTCATCTGGTGATTTTTCTTCTTTTTCCTAAAAATAAGATAAAAAAAATTAAGCAATGATAATGAAATAAAAATGCTAATTGTCAAAAAATAAAACACAGGTAAGGAAAATAAAAAACTAGATTCCACTGTTCATTTAACAGAAGTATAGTCAAACATTAAGTTATACAAAGAATAATAGCAATTATCAAAAATAAATTCTCGACTAGAAAAAAATAATCAGTTTTCAATATAAGTCATTATATCAGATTTCAGCTTATAAAAAAATGCACCTTTAACACAGTTTTAATAATTTTCAATACCCCAATATGCAGGGTATCTGCGCACCTAGAAAGTGATGAATTTCAATCATTGACAAAATTTGTCATGAAATGTCATGATTTTTACTATTTTTTTAAAAAAAACCTTGGAAAGTCATAGATTTAGGTCTATAAAAAATCTAATTTTTAAAATGGAATTCTCTACCCCAATTTCGTCTTGTTCCAAATATCTGAATTCCTAACAAAATCACCACTCAGTCATATTTTATTTGAATATAAAATGATTTTATCATGTTCTTTAAAAATTATGGTATTCTTTCAAAAAATGAAAGAAAAAACATCATTTCTAGAGCGAATTATCTTTTAAACTTCTGTGATTTAAGAACTTTTATTATTTATTTTTCTTTCATTTTATCAATTTAAAATTTTAGTTGAAGCAAACCAGTCATTGGCAAATTTTTTTATTCGGAAATGAGAACAGAAAAATCAGGAATATTTCTTTCCTTTCTGATGAACAAGAAAAGTATCTTTAGAACATAATTCCACAGAAAAATTTTTTTTTGCTTTTGTATTTTTTTCAGCTATTTTATTGTTTCAACTCCTTCTTTACTTTGTTTTTTAAATTTAAAATCCATAAATATGAAGATGCAGAGTATAACAGTTTTGGTTATACCTATCATTTCAATGTATGTTATTATAATGCTTTTTTACATTTATTGTTGCGTTTTTATTGGAGAAAATAGTAACTTTGTTAAGTTATGAAAAATTCTTGGAATTAGTCATGAATTTAATGTAGCAGAAAAATCAATAAATGTAGCAGATACCCTGTATATATTATGAATAAGTAAGATTTTTTATTGATAAATATAATAAATTAATATAAATAAAACTTTTAAAATACAGTAAAACCTGTCTATAACGATACTGTAGGGACCTAAATAAAATATTGTTATAGGCAGGTTATCGTTATAGACAGGTTTGAAATTTAAAAGTATACGTTTAAAACTAATGATAAATTAAACTTCTTTTATAGGCTCCAAATGAAAATTTTACTTAGAATTATGAAACAGCACACAAGAAAAATTTACTTACAATTTTATGAATCAAAACAGAAATTATTTAGAAAAATAATCGGTTAGTTTTGTTTGCTTATTTTTGGAAGCAATTGCCATTTCCATGCACATAGATTTCAGTCCATCTAATGAATTCAAATGAACATCAGTTACATTTGGTAATGTTGCAACAAAATCTTGCAAAGTGTTAATTAGCAATATGGCATTCTCGGGTGAAATTTGAGTCCTGTTTTGAGAACAGTCAGCTGCTTCTTCCTCATCACTTTGATCACCCGGGATAACTTCTGCTAAAATCGCTATTGAATAGGAATTCCCCTCTTGTCGTGTCGCATCGATGTCTCGTCAGTGTGTCACCCGTTTTTCTGACGAAGCTCTCTCCCTCCTACAATACCCCTTCACCCATTTCTACTGCTCTAATTTCCCCTAAAAGTGGCTTTTTTTCTCAGAAACAACGAAAGAATATTACATACAAAGGAGATGAAAAAAAAAACATTTTGTTATCTCACATTTAGGCTCGATGGGGAGTTATTTTCCAAATCGGAATAGAACTATCAACTATCAAAAGAGGAAAAATTATCGTTGTAGACATGTTTAACTGAAAAGTGGTTATCCCTATAAACAGGTTAAAAATACATCGAGTAACCCGTTTTTCTGACGAAGCTCTCTCCCTCCTACAATACCCCTTCACCCATTTCTACTGCTCTAATTTCCCCTAAAAGTGGCTTTTTTTCTCAGAAACAACAAAAGAATATTACATACAAAGGAGAAAAAAAAAAAAAACATTTTGTTATCTCACATTTAGGCTCGATGGGGAGTCGTTTTCCAACGGTAGAAAAATCGGAATAGAACTATCAACTATCAAAAGAGGAAAAATTATCGTTGTAGACATGTTTAACTGAAAAGTGGTTATCGCTATAAACAGGTTAAAAATACATTGAGTAAATAGGAATTTCACCGGGACCACAAGGAAACATCGCTATAGACAGGTTTATCATTATAGACAGTATCGTTATACACAGGTTTCACTGTATTACCTTATCCTGTTTACTTTGATCTGAATCAATTTTTGTAGAATTTATATCACTTGTATCCTTCGAGCTGAAGTATCTAAAGAACAAAAGTATTTGTAGTCATTAAAAAATTAAAGATTGCATGAAGAAGATAAATAATTCAAAAAGCAATTAGATAAAAAGAATTAATATTTATTAAACGAAATACATTGTAACAACTTTAAATAGTTTTTAAACAAAAAACAATTGTAATGGCTATTGGATTGTTCTCCCAGTATCCAGATAAATTAAATTTCTTATGAAATCATGGGTGTTGCAGGAACCCAAATTTTGAGAGGGCTGAAATTAAATTACACAGTCAGAATATTTTTCTAAATTTCACAAATAAATAAAAAATTCTCAAATGTGCTAGACACAGGCAAAAAGATTAATTATTTTTTATTTCTTTTTTTGATTTTACCTTTAAGGAATATAAATTGATAATAATTCATGAAAATTTTCTTTATTTGTCTGAAATATTGAGGTGGATTTCTACAGATTTGAGAAGGACCTAAACTCACCAACCCACCCCCGTTAAAAAAGCTCATATTTAAAATCTAAGTTGAATTTTGTTAGTAAATAAGATGAATTTGGCTTAAAACATAACCTCTGTAAATTTTACGTGAAAGTTTTATTATTCAATATATATAGATATTTATATATAAATATATACAGCAAAAGTTAATTGTAATGACAATTAACAATAGCTGACAAAATAGTCTTCATTGTGAGTTCACTGTTATAAACAAATATTCATTAATGTTAATGACTAAATGCTGTGATTTAAATTGCCTATCTAACAGAGCTCAAAAAATTAACATCAGTCCAGGACCACATAATTTTGACAACCACAGGAATAAATATTAGTAGTCTCCCGTAACAGCAATCAATTAGTTTTCAGTTTAGTGTATTAGTCTATTATTGTCCCAAAATAGCATGTTTCATCAAAATTGTGAATATAACACATTTTCTTTCATTTAAATTCACTGAACTTTTTTTCAACAAAAAAAATACAATACCAATATTTAAGCACACCAGCAAAAATGTGTATTGATTAGTAACATCTTTTAGTCACTAGTTCATGGACCAGCAACTAAATTTTTTCAATCTATTATTTTTTTGCATACAAATTGTAAGAATAAAGAAGAAGAAAATTAAATGAAGTGCAATAGCCTTAAACGACATTGATAACACTGCAAATACTCAATAGTAAGCTGTGAAGAAAAGCGGAGACATTGTAAATAGCAACCCAAGGCTGTCGACTTTCTTCACTTCTTAGGAAAATTTTGTCTGGTGGTAGCTAAGTTTATGTTTTAATGTATAATTCTTTGTTTTTCAAATTAGATTTAAAGTTATTTTCCACACCACTACACATAAATGATTTAAAAATTTAGATAGAAAGCTACTTGCTTCTAACTCTTTTGCAAAGCTTTTAAAATGTTGGTGAAATTACCAAAAATTCTGAAAGTTTTAATTTTTAATTACCACTTGATAAAATATTATAAAAAAACTTAGCAGATGGCAGTTCTGGAAACTCTTGGAACATTAGCGATAGTCAAACACTATTTCATCACAAGTGTTCCTTTAAAAAAAAATTGTAGCAATAACGAAAGGCTAATTATGTTCAGCTTGTCATAAACACACAACTTTTGTATCTTTAATATTATATTTATCCTGGTGATTTGAGAGCTTGACGAAGTAGTATATTTCTTGTAATATGCTCTACTTGTTATACACTTTACTTTTACTGTGTTTGTATATTTATTAAAATTTTTCAACTCAAATTTGAAAATTCTACAAAATTAAAAAATTCTGCATTTGATTTTTTTATGAAACAAAGGAGTCTGAAAATTGTTTTTATTTTTTTAAGTTATGTCATATATTAAATTATTTAAGAGTTTTAATTTGAAAACAATGTTGCAGAAATTATTATCTTTTCAATTCACAAAATAAAACCTCTAAATAATATAATGGTAAAGCTTAGGCTCTAGAATTATTATTGACAACAGTAATACTTTTATAATTGTCATAACAGGTACCTACCTTATATAAGTATTAAATAACATAGGTACTTCCGGGAAATTTTTTTTTAGAGATTCCAGAACCAAAAAGTCATACAAGGAATGTTGTTATTTTTTATTATTATTACAGGCATCCTGTATTGACATTTTAACATACAAAAAAACAACAACATTAAATCATTTTATAATTAGCTTATTATCGAATTTTCTTGTAATGAAGTCTTGGTGATTGAATTTGTTTATAATTATAAAATAAATTTCAAATGAGACCACTTGCATTATTTTTTTGCTGAACAAAATAGAAAGAAAATACATTTTTTAGTTTACATAATATGAAACAAATGTTGTATGTGAAAGATATTAAATTTAGTAAGGATGTAAAGCTAATAAGTTTAATAAATACTTGAAGTAAGGAGATGCATATCCTCTTAAATAATTCTTTAGAATTCTATTATTTAAAACAGAGTATTTAGTAGGAAAAGTAGCCATTTAATACTATGTACTTAAGTTTACTAAGCCGGTAAAACAATTTTTCTTGGATTTTTCACAGTCATGTTATGTTTAGGCAGTGTCTATTACACCGACTATCGGTAAGATAGCCTCAGAGCTATCGCGCCGACGTTGACAACAGCGCCACTTTACAGAAACTAATTCATCGGTACAATAGCTATAAGTTATGCTTTTCTAACTGTGTATGTGAAATTGGTAATGGGTTGTCATTGTTTGATGGGTTGTCATTGTTTCACCAACAACAAAAAATTTAAAAATAAAAGAACATTATTTCTTTTTTCCTTAAAGCGTATAAAATTTTNATGAATTCTTCCACCATGTGTATTTCAATTCCAGCGGAGCCTTATCAAATTTTTTAAATTTCTTTGAAGCATTTTCTAAAGTTTTCGCTTCTCTCTTCCAGAAGATCGTCCTTTTTTCTTTTTCAAATTCATGAATGGTTATTTGTTATTCTTCATATGAAGAAAATCAAGATGCTACAAAAATTGTAGCTGCCTTGACTACGATAAACAGAGCTAAATTATTTTTTAAAAAAAAATCGGAGAGTCACGTGGACAGATACGCTCTATGATTGGTTAAAAATTTGATCGGTAAGATAGCAAAATGAATTTTACTGCGCCGATAATCGGTGCAATAGACACTCCGTTATGTTTACATGATAAATGCACACAGGACATAAAAACGTTTCCGGTTGCTTTTTCCTGTGCAAATGATCCATGCTGTTGGACAGTGACTTCACGATCGCAGCGCTCGAATGCACTATAAAGAAAGCCTTCTCCACAGTTCAGATGTGTGAGAATGTATTACAATGTTTTTCAATTCCTTTATATTTTTCGTAGTTAGATCACCAAAGTTTTTTTTTTAATGAAGTCTGCAATGCTTAATTTAAGCTTAATGTAGTTTTGAATCCCATAAAGTTTCCAAATTTAATAATTTAAACCAAGATGGAAACTATCGTACTTTCACAATTTTTATGACTATCCACACGGTGAAAGCATACAAAATATTTACAAGCATTAACACTGCATAGAATTGCTCTAGACGGGCGTGTGAATGTTTCAAAAAGTAGCAGGTAAAAGTTTAAGTACTTGTGTTTGAGTGAACTGTATTGACGTATGATCGCATATGCGAATCGCATGCTATGAGAATATTTCATTACAATAGGTAAATAGTTCTGCCATGTACTTGCATGGATTCTCCTCTTCGGTGTAATGACACAAAAGCTGGAAACAGCTATGCTACGCTAGGCACGGGATAGTGTTTTATGGAAACATGAGTTTTAACTTAACATTAATTAATTATTCTAATTAGCCTGATAAATTACCCGAATAAAAACAAAAGATCGAAATGAAACCTTTTAATTTTTCAATTTATCTCATTAAGAATACATGTTCCAAACTTAAGCATTCTAACTTCATGGGAAGAGGGAGAATCAGTGAGTGAGCAGGCTTTTCATTTTATTATAAACAGATTATTAGTATTGTTATTAATATTTTCTTTAAAAAAAATACAGGATGGAAGCCTGATTTTTTTCGAATAACAATTAAACACTTTATTGTCTTTGTGGTGGTGGTGGTACTTATTCCTCTTGGCCCAGAACAAGGCTAGACCAAGTCCAGGAGACCGTTCACCGACAGAAAATCAAACACCATCTGCGGATCCTCCAAAATAAAATTTTTCTCCAGTCCCATACAGGTCAGCAAATGATGAGATGAAGCCTGGTGAGCACTACATTTTAGGCATACAGGGAACGTCTTTTGACCCTGAACAAATGTTAGTCCGCGGGTATGACCAGTGATTAGTCTTGTGATAGCTGTCTGTAGTTTCCTATCACCTTTTATCTCCAGGGCAGCCCCAGGACTATTTTGTTGATACTATTCACGACTAGGTGGAATCCTCCAAGTCCTATTATTGTCGGCCTTTACTTTTGCATATATTTCATTGTTTGTTAGAAGGCCACTACTATCTATGGGATCATTGAAGCCCTCCTTGGCCAGTTCGTCGGCCAGATCATTAAAGTGAAGGTTCACGTGGGAGGGGATCCACTGAAGATGTATATCATTGTGATAAGAGTAAGTCATCAAATTGTCAATGATATTTAGGCCAATTCTGTCACTGATGTTTTGCCAATTACTCAGGTATTGAACTGAGCTCTTACTATCCGTGAAAATCCAGATATTCTCTGTACTCTCAATGGAAATCATGTGTTCTAGAGCCGCGTATTGTCTTTGTACTCATTATGTATGAAAAATCTTGTTTATCTATGTTAAAATTAACATTCGAGCAAAAATAAATAAATAATTTTACATTTAATTTATTAAAGGAAGAATTAATTCAGTTATATTTAATTTATTTATAAAATCAATAGCCTTGTGTACTTGTACCGAAACACACGAGTTATAGCTTTTTTTCTATTAGCTCAAAAGTTATACTTATCGTATGTTGAGAAACGTTGCATTATGCGAATAATAAAAATAAAATAATGGTTATATTATGTAGTTATCCATAAATGATGTCTCCTTTTTTTTCTTCAGTATTTTAATATCTTCTCTTACGATACAATAAGGATTACAAATGTACTAATTTTGTACGAAACAAGATTAAGGGTCTCTGCAAAAACATAACTGATAAAATAATAGTTTTACATATTATAATAGTATTATATATTTCGTTATAATATAAACGCGCTGTATGCCGATCAAAGGAGTTGCTGAGCAGTTTTACCAATTCTCCATCTCATAATTTTGGGGAAAGTGGTGTCTATAGTAATACCAAAAAAAATAAATAAATAAAATTCCGCGTAATAGAATAAATTCTTATTTTTGTCTGGTTTTTTTCTTCAAAAAAAAGAAGAAAAAAAAAACATTTTCTCGACAGGAAGATGAACTTTTTCAACGAGAGCAGCGATACAATCGTGATTTGTATGTCCATTTCGCTAATTACAGCTTTTTTTTTATTATATTAAAAAAATGATGTCTTTTCCAAATAAGTAGAAAAACTATTTCTAAACGAATGACACGCACATTTTAACTACAGAATAATTTAGGTCTTCTTTATTGTAGTTCATAAGACAACTTGGTAGATATTACGAGTCTATTTTAATATTTTAAATCATATATCAGCTATTATAATTGAATATATTAGCAGAGATAAATATATATACTATTTAAGATAAAATTTTTAATAAAAAGATGGACAGAAAGAATTTACTTCATCATTTCTTCCAAATCATTCAAAAATGGAATTCTCTATGTTAAGCGGTGTGACGTTTAACAAAATACTTTTCTTTATTGAATGAGGAGAAAGAGTGCATGTAGTATAGCCAGTCTCAAAAAGTGTGGTAACGTGAGGATGATGGGGTAGGAGTTAGGACCCTATAAGACAGTCTTCTTGTCTCCCCCCCCATCCCTGAAGGGTGTTAAATAACTTTCCATACGGATGCAAACAAAATACTTGACCCTCAGAATTTTGTGAGGAAAAGTGAACAAGAAGTTGGTGGTTAAGTGTAAGTAAAAAGATCACTCTTCATGTTTTTAATTTATTCTCATTTACAAAAATTTAATAAAAAAAATATATGTAATTATATTTCTTTTTAAGACGGTAGTATTTCCCCCACGATTTTTAAGTTCGTACTGATAGGGGGGCACGCGATGCCCGACAGGGGGGCAATTCCCCCCCCTCTGACAGTTCCCCTCTGACAGAGAGTGTTCGAAAATACGTGTTTTCTTCCGTAATTTATTGTCGGTCCCTGATTCCTATGTATGGAAAATCGCATAAACTAATTGCCTCTAAAGTTACAAAATAGTCCTTTAGGTATTTCTTGAGAAATTTAAAAAAATGTCAAAAACTGAAAGTGTCTCTTCCATTATTGTAGGGTATTTATAGATAACGCATAGCATAAAATGCTCCCCACAATTCGGGTTTCTTAATTCTCCTCATATCCCCAAATTTTTTATCAAAAAAAAATAGATATGAACTTATCAAAAAAAAAAAATTTCGAAATTCCAATTTGTTTGAATTTTTCACGTTTTTTCTACGTTACATTTTGTTTTGTTGCGCAAAAAAAATTGACTTTGTAGCGTGAAATTTCGAAGTTACGTAGAAAAACGTAAGGAATACGATGGAATAAAAATAAAAACTTAAACTTTTGATAATTAGTGCGAAAATTATTAATTGTTGAAATCGTATTAAAAAATACTACGCGATCCGATTAGCAGTATGCGTAACCGAAATTACAAAGTTACTGAAAGGGCTATTTCCAAAGGGGAAAATAACTTATAAAAGTTTTTTTTTTTTCATTCTCATTTCCATTTGTTCTTTTGAAAGTTAGAACCACTTTATGTGCTTTTTCGTAGTTTCTTTCACTTCTTTTGCTTTGAATAATTTCGATTTATTCATTCTTTTTTACTTTCGAAACTTCATTTCTTACGCTCGCACTTGACTTCATGTCAAAGGTTACAAAATAAATAAATAAATAAATAAAATTATAAGACTCTGTAAGAATGTGAGATTTGGTGCTAATAGACATGAAGTTAATATTTTTTATCAAAATTTATAACAATATAAACTGCTCAAAAGAAATGAAAACTACCTCTAATTTTAACAGTTATATGATAGAAGGTTATGCTTATAAATTTTTAACAAGTAAAAATAAATATTAACACAATATAACAAATTAAATATTAAAAGAGTAACGAGTATTTTAAAAACAACATGACATTTTTTTAAATCGATTTTTAAGAGGAAACAAAACTAAAATTATATAGATATAAGTATAGGAGATGTTAAGCGAAGTGATAGTGAAATGAACCTCCCAGTAATTAAAAAAAAAAAAAGCTGCTGTTTTATTTGAATTTCCTTAAAAATTATAGTTTTGTTGATTTCTTAAAAATGTAAGACGAATTGTATGTAATTTATATACTTTGATTAGGATAAAACTTAGTTAATAATTAATATTTTTAATCCTTGGGAATAGAATTAATTTAGTAGACTTTTAATTTTCTTTAAATTTTTTTAACTACTCGACTCGATTGAAACTACTTGATAAACTACTTAATTTTTTAAACTACTTGATTTTTTAGAATTTGACTTTGTTTGGATTTAAAAGTAAAATACCGTGTTTAAGAAACATTATCAGCGTACAGAATTATATAGAAAAATGCATCATTACAATTAAGTAGTAAACATAATCGTTGTAGAATATTTCATTAAAAAACAACATTGATGTATTTTTAAATATCAGGAAAGATAAATAGTTGCATTAAAAAAGAAAGATTGTTTCCTTTTTATATTAAGAATGCATTTGAACAAGAATAATAATCAATCATATTAGAAATGAATGAATAAAAATTTTAAATGTTAAGATATATTGCAGTTCTAAGTTTTAAAAAAAACATTAAGAAATTTTTCGTACCTACAGATTATTTGACAGGTACTTGTTTCATTCAGCATCGCCATTTTCTTTTATTTATTTTTTTAAATCTCCACACGTTCTTAGTTGTAATATTTTTGTAACTACAAATCATCAAAGACAACTATTTCACAATCGTCATTTATAAGAAGGCGGCCATCATGATCTTAACAATGGAAAAGAAACATTTCCCAAGAAATATCATTCCGTCTATATTTGGCTCTATCTCGCTATTCTGGGGCACATGCGTAAAATTTTTCTGCCACAGTCTATATTGAACTGTTAGAGGGGTGTTAATTTTAATCACGTGCCGGCCTGGTGGCTGAGCGGTTAGCGTGCCTGACTGCGAAGCCATAGGCTGCGGGTTCGA